TGCTGAAAGGCGTTTTATCTTGCCAAAACATTAATTCTGTTGTAAATATAAAACGAGCACGATGATGTGCCCGGGAATAGGCTTCAATTACTACATAATTTGTAGCAAGCAATTTCACTTAAAGTTGTACTTGCTTGTAGTTAATTTATTGGTGCGATTAATGTCAAGTGGTGCCACTGCCGAAGTGATGGTTGCAGTGAAGCTTGGCCCAATTGCCACAACAAGCAATTAGCGAGTGGGCAGTAGAAGTGCTTTATTTTGCCCAGTGACATTTGACTAATGTCTTGGTGATATTTGATGCCGCGTGAACTGTGGGAGCGGGCGATGTGAAGGGGCACTGTGGAACAAGGTTTGGGACACAAACAAAACAGCAAAACAACAATTGAAGCAAGTGAGCTGATAAGGGTAAAGAAGACAAGAATGTTCTTTATTTACATTGACCAATTGTTTGTTTCATGAAAGTTGAACACAGAGTTGAAGCTGTCAGAATAGACGGTAAAAAAATTGATAAAAGCGAGTGATAAACATGTAAAAATGCTAGTAAAAACAGATAAATAGCTTTTAAAACATCAACTAGTAAAACCAAATCCATCTTTTGAGGTTCTGCAGAAAACTAGCCATCGGATCGACGCAGTACTTGGCAAGATGAGGATGATAACCATGTACTTTGAAAAACTTTTCCTCGTTAAATAAGGGGTATTCAAATACTTGTGGAATGTCGTTAAATTTTACAGATTTTGTAGTGACTGGTGGTAAATTAGGGGGTCTTTCAAGTTTGGTTTTGTATTTAATGCAAGGATTCATCGGCAACTGTGAAAAGAAAAATATTTTAAAACAAAACAAATACGCCACCTTGACGTCTCGGATGAAAGCTTTTTTACCAGAGATTGTATTGGCAGTTCATTTAAACTGACACTCAGCAGCTGACAATGTTCGTACTGTTCAGCGGCAACATGTCCTTTAGTGCTAGAAAAAATTCTAGTATCCATGATTGTGGGAAGCTTGGATAATAAAGTGCTAGTGATGTCTTATTGTAGAGGCCAGTTGAAGATGAGTATGAAATGGTTTGTAAAGTTTGTATAGAAAGCTACCACAGCCATTCAGTTCTTTTGAAGAGGTAAGTGACGGTAATGATGATGATCTTGATTGTGATCGGCTGTGGGATGAAGAGAGCAATAGTGCGACAGCAAGTAAAGTGTGTCACCAGAAACTAAATGCTAACTTTTCAACGACAAACGTTGTCACAAACGCTACCCCTGATAGCAGTTTTTCTCTTTTGGCGAGAGTGTGATTAGCGTAGCAAGTGTCAATTAAATTGGCCATTTGGCAGTGTTATTGTTTGAGTCAGAAAAGTTTAGATAACGAGAACGTCGTTTCCTGTGTTTTCATAACTAAAAAATGCCGAACATTTTGACAATATTTTTGAAATCACTGTTTATTCCTACCAGATGGAGACTCGATATCAGCGAAAATAAATTTTTGATTTTTATTTCAAGTATTTGAAAAATGTGCCAATAGACGCAAATCTTTGTAGGTGTAGGCATTAATAAAATTATTTTATTGAGTTTATATTTACAATACAACATATAAAGAGCACATATAAATTAGAAAGAGGGAGAGAGAAAAAGAGGCAAAGACAGACATGGTTGAGAAGTTGGGTTTGAAAAGAGGGAAAGAGAGGGATGCTAAAAAGATGCCGGAAAATTTAATTGTCTAGATGAAAATAACAAAAAAGAGATAGCTGAACTGATACGATGTCTCACTGCAAATTAGAATAAAATAAAAACAAAAGTAAGAAACTGAGGATTGTGGACTAGTGGCAAGAAACGATTTAGAAAAAGTTGCATCAGCTGCCATTGCCTACATGAATTGAAGATTGAAGAAAGAGAAGAAGAAAATTATGGTTGACTGAAGACAGGGCTGGACACGTACGGAGCAGGGTCCGTCATTTTCAGTGTGTTTCAAGTTCTACATTGAGCAAATTGCAATTTGTTTCTGGCATGAAAGGTATGGCCACGAGGAGAGATTTGAGTATTTGTACAGTGTAGTTGTGAAGAAAAGATAATGGAAAAAATGGAGAAAAAATGACTAGATTGAAGGATGACTAAGTACAGGGCTAAAAAGGTCATTGTGTTTACAGTGAATTTTGTTGAGATGTGTACCAGTACTCAAAGGCGAAAATATACAACAGCAATGGTCTCTGCGAGAAATTGGGAAGGGAGAGGAAGTTGGGCAAACTTAACAAAAAGTCAATCGGATTATTATCGATGCCGACGGTAACAGACTCAGCAAAACTCAACACAGCCAGCTGATGGTAAACAGTGTGTAAACCTTGCAATGGATGGCCAAGTACACAGCCATCTCACAAAGCCATCTTTCATCTTATGTACAGCAATAACTGGCNGAAGTTGGGCAAACTTAACAAAAAGTCAATCGGATTATTATCGATGCCGACGGTAACAGACTCAGCAAAACTCAACACAGCCAGCTGATGGTAAACAGTGTGTAAACCTTGCAATGGATGGCCAAGTACACAGCCATCTCACAAAGCCATCTTTCATCTTATGTACAGCAATAACTGGCAAACTGGTGGCATGCAATGGTAGTTCTTGAAGAAACGGTCTCTGAGCGAAGGGCAGGAACGCAGAGACACTGAGGTAAATCTCACTATTGAACAGGTTCGATCAGTTGGGTAGAAAAAAAGGGGTGTGTGTCAGTGTGTGGTGGCACTACTATGAAAACAGCATAGTGGCCACTTGGAAATTGAAGCAATTTTCAAGTACACGATAAAAAGAAAGAAAAAGAAAAAAAGAATTTGCATGTAGAAAGTAGTACAGAGAAAAGAGCTTTTCGCAGGGACTTTGACGATAGTTGAACGTTGAGCTCTGAACTATAAAAAAGCTGTGTTCAGGAGGCTCCAATGCAGGTGCTGAAGAAAAAGAAAAGGGGACCACGTGAATAGGACGCGACCATGACTGCCAGCACTTGAGCAGGCAGGTGGCCTGCAAAGTGGGGTCTGCATTCAAGGTTCGTCTCAAGGCGATGACGAGAAAGAGGAGAGATAAAAGGGGAAAGATAGACAAAAGAAAGTTCAATACCACGAGCTTAGAAAAAAAGTGTTCTACAGTTCATGAAGATTGACAATAGAAAAAAATTCGTTGATACATCGAGCAAACCGGCGCGGTTGCATCGGTGAGCTGAGGTCTAGTGGAGGTGAAGGTGATAGTGATGAGTAATACTAAAATTGCTAGTGATTCGGTGACATTGGCAGCTTGTGAGAATGACCGGTCGACGGCTTCCTTCCCCACCTGTTCGCTGTTTTTCCTGTGTCCAGTGCCAGTGCGCTAGCTAGCGCATGATGGCCACTCCCTGGCGAATGGCATTCGGGTTGTTGCTCTCTCCGGCGCCCATCTCAATGACCGCCTCGCTCCGGTAGAAAGGCTGCCGGTGCACTGGCGTCAGCTGGCTGCCGCTCCCGTAGCCGGCATTGGAATTGGTCAAAGGCACTGAGTTTGCAGAGTCGTCCTCCTCGTCCAGCGTCGACTGACCGCGCAGAAGGTAGTGTGGCTGCTGCTGTTGCTGCTGCTGTTGCTGCTGACCCGGGTGGTGTATCATCTGAGCGGGCAGTCGTCCGTTGGAAGAGGGGTAGAGGTCGTTATCGGTGAGCACATCCTCGTCCATTCCCTCATCATTAAGCTCCATGGTGGACCGATGCTCAGAGTGGCCGACGACGCCCGACGCCTCCTCAGCCTCGTCGATGATGCCCTCGTCAATGTCCTCGTTGAGCAGCACGCCCGACTGGCCATTGCCCTCCAGTATCAGTCCTCTGGAGCTGGTGGCCGTCGCCGGGCGGTTGTAGTAACCACTACGCCGCAGTGTGCCCGAGTTGTACCCCGGATCACTCAAGCCTGGCTGCAGCTTCGGGTGAACGGCACAGTCCGGGTGGTGTTGCTGCTGCTGTTGTTGTTGTTGCTGCTGCTGAGACTGCTGAGACTGTGTTCCTCCCGGATGGTGCATGATCACCTGCTGACTGGTGAGCGTTATTGGCCCTGAGCCCATTCGCTGCTGCATGTGCTGAGGGTGGCGATAGGGCATCGTCTGGTGATTGTCGCCCATCATCATCATGCCTGTCTCGGGCAGTTTGCTTGCGTCCAGTGGCAATGTCCGGTACTGCTGCTGCTGCTGTTGCATTCTGTTTCTAAAGTGACTCAGAGCTGGAGGCGGTGGCGGCGGCGGTATTGAGCACTCTGAGCCACTGCGCAGACTGTCTCTTTCCAGTTGACTCTGCGTGTGCGAGTAGTACTCTCCGGCGACCATTGGCGACTGTCCTCCGCCGCCCCCGTTAGGAGAGCCTAACATCATCTGCGGCGGCGTGGGCGTATCCGGTGAGTACTTTTCTGCCGAATCGAGGTGGTGTCCCGAGCAGATAACAGTGCCTCCGTTCGGCTGGACCAGTCCCTGTTTGCCAGGCCTGCGCTCAGCGGACGGAGGGTACACGAGGTGATGGTGTGTCGGCTGGTGGTGGTGCAGCGAGGTGATCTCCATATCCGGAACGTAGCAGCCGTTCTCCTCCGAGTCGTAGTACGCCATACCGGGGTCCATCAGTCCGTCGTCGTCGATCATTTCGGGCTTGTGACGAATGGCATTGGCAGTGACAATCTTTCGGCACCTCGAGCCTGAGGAGGAGGACGCCTGGTCCGGATGCTCTAGAACACAGCCTCCAGTGCTTCGGTCCAGTGAGGTGATGGTCATTGTCCGATCGAGGCCGGCCTCCATTGAGTTCTCCTTTGAGCGCCGCATCTTGTACTCTCGTTTCCGTTGCTTTCGCTCTTCAATTTTACTCCAACAAGAGATGGTGATAGAGGCACACATGCCAAAGACGAGAGCACAGAAGACTATGAGAATGACGACCATGTGGTGAGAGCTAAGGTTGAGCACGCCCTGGCTGTCTGTTGTGGCAAAAAACAGAAAACAGTTTAGTCGATCAATTAAAACTAACTTCACAAATTCATACTTTCTGCACATGTTTGCGACTTTTCTTCATCGTATCGGTATTTACAATTCTCCACACCGTCACACTTGAGGCTGCCATCAATGCAGGTGGAGTCTTCACAGTCAAACTCATTTGGCAAACATTTTTCTAAATCAACAAAACAGCGTTTAAGCACATGGAAACAAACAGTTGACAAATATACGATTTCCTTACCTTTGTTTTTAACTTCTCTAAAGGCAGTAAAGATGATCTCAAATCCAAATGGAGTTGTTGGTTGAGGGCCCGTTTGAAGACTTAATGCATCTCTTCTCGCAAAGTACCGTATGTTTATATTCGTACCAGCCGACTTGAATGGCTCCGCCTGTGTACCACAAAAGCGGTGTTTTCGATCTTTATCATTTAGTTTGTCCTCGTAAATGTCGATGTAATTTGCTTCGCAGTTATTGGGAATACTTAATTTGTATTTCTTAAAGTTTATGTACATCTAAAAAAGTGATACAACGAGACTGTTAGTCAGGGGTGTTTGAGACTCAGCAAAACAACTGACCTTGTATCCTGGTGCCACGGTGATGTTCCACATGCAATCCAAGGACACATTGTTTTGTATTGAGTAATTGTTATACTCGGCAGGGATATCGCTCTGGAAGATGAATCCGCTTACGCCAGTCTTATTGAACCGACATTCTAGAGTTAGAGAAAACGAAGTATATTTTATAACTTTTTGTGATACAAAAAACACATCAACACTTACCACCCGGTGGTTCTGGTCTTTTATCTGTGTCAGAGAAAAAGGATAGTAGAAGTTAAGTTAATAAAATTGATTTTTGCTAACAAATCAAACGTACTTTGATTTTGAATAAACGAATAAACGGCTCTAAAGCCTGAGTATTGGATACTGTCATCGGAGACAAAGCGAAGAAAAAGAAATCGATCACTGGATATAATATCGCGCGGAAAATCGGGCCCACAAAGTTTGTCAATTAAGGTAGAGTATCCAAAGGCACCATCGCGAACTTCGAGAAAATCGTATTCACAATTAGTGGCATCCTCAAGGTGAAACTGATCTCGAAACTCAATCTTGATTAGGTAACCAAATGGAGCTGTGAAGAGGGATAACACATTGTTTTAGAAAATCAAGTTGTGAAAAGTTTTCAAATACCTCTAATAACTCGTTGGCAATCGGTGTTGTTTATATAAAAATTTGGGTAGTTTGGCGAGTAGAATTCTTTAATGTTGTCGTTTCCTATGGTGAAGTTGTAGCAAGGATGATCAAGGCCAACATCGACAGAAGCTTCAAATGTAGGCTCGTTGGATATTTGCGCCTGAGGAAAGGCCACCTCTCTGTAGAGATAATGCTTGGGCTTCTTTGTACTGGGACTAGAGGTCAGTGCAAGGCTGGTGGTGCCCAGTGACGAGACTGCCGATGTCTGCATCGCTGGGTCCAAACGGGCACTGGAGATGAAGGCGAATCCCGCCGGGGGCACGGCAACGGCGGTCACTGCCGCCGCCGACTCTGCGGCGGCTGCGTTGACGTAAGCAAGTTCTAATGGTAAAGAAAAAAATTAAAGTTAGTTTAGGTAAACAATTAACTAAACTAGTTTTGGCAGACAGTTTTATATTATTAAAACTGAATCGGCAATTAGCTTAAACACAATCAGTGTAGATGAACCAATTTCAAATTGTAGTTTTAACTCATACACGCTTAACACATTTACGCACAAATTTTGAAAATACACACAAAACATTAGAAGTTTTGAAAAAAAAGATGTGCTGACTGAGTGCATAGTAGAAAAACATCGATAGCCTGGATACTCTTACTGACCACAAGCCGGCTTGATAAAGTGAATGCTTTGACAATTGTCAGGGCTGACCGATTCGCGGGTAGCAGAAAGACTGAAAAAGCCAAGTGAGTCATGTGCAAACAAATAGCAATAAATTTCAATTTAAGACCAATCGTGCCGAATTATAAAAGCCATTTACTGTCCTTCAAGCGTCATTGAAGTTACTGCAACCATTACAGTAGTAGTCGCAGTTTAAACAGATCCTGTAGACTTTTGTGCACTTAAGCAGTACGAGTAGGCGTAAGAACAGTATAAGAAAGAATTGAAATCCCAATCAGGTGCCGAGTGGAATAGCCAAAAGTGTTAGCATTCTCAAGAATTGCCATTGTAATCCCGATCACACTTTGGAAGCTTTCACTTGGAAGTCGTATTGCATAAAGAGAAAAGCAGAGTGGAAACGCATTTCAAATCCCAAAACAGAATGGCAGTGTGCAAATCGTCTCTTCAGACGAGGATGCTGCGAAACCCTGTTCTACTGCTCCTCGGCAGACTGTTTGCTAAATTAAAAAGCAAATTATCTGTCAGTATGAGAATGGGCTGGTCGATTGATCAGCAGACAGATGGGCAGCTCTTTTTTGCAGTTCATCAGAGACAGGCCTTAGTTACAGCAAAGCTATGGGTTGATACCATCTAATCCAACATTAATCGATTGGAGCTGAAAAGTGAACACGAAGCCCAGTGGTGCTCAGTGGTGTCAAGCAGATTTATGAAGCACAGACTACTTCAGAGTCTTTCTGCCAAGTCTGTTCATATACGAGTGTCACTCGATAAGGCTCTCAAGTTGCTCTGAAGAATGTGAAGTGACGACCAAGGGGAACCAGTGGCAAATAATACCCATCTAATGAGCAATAAACCGAGTGGACACATTCACACACTAAACAGCAGCAGAAGCGAAACTGGACACCCAAGGATGTTTACTGGCCAGTAGCCTCCATCAGATGTAGTCACTTTTACTGTTGTTGCTGCTTCTGCATTTAATTGTTCACATAAATTAGCTTCCAAGTAAGAATCGACAATCTCGCCAGTTTCAGTTTTTCTAAATGACAAAGCAAATGACCGTGGCTAGTATAGTCAGCAACTGTAGTAGTTTTAGTGCACTGCAAATCCAGACTTAGAAAAGTGTCAGTTGAGCGAGCTGATTTATTTAGATATGAAAACAAGGGCTCAGTTACGCTCGCTTCGCTCGCCACCAACCATTTTAC